CCAGTGACATTTAGGCAGGTTGAGTGTAATGGGGATACACCACCTGAAAACGGTAACCCACCAATCCCCAAAACCAGTGATGAGGTCAGAGATGTGGATGGCACCGCACCATACTACAGGCTGGAACCAAGTCTTGAAGATTTGCCCACAGAAGGAAATCAGGAGAAAAGTGAAAAATTACAAGGGAAGATGCTGCTCAACTGGCCCAAGGATGAGAAGACTCTAAAAGGTAAAACATTTTCCTTCTTTTCAATTTGCTTGATTTGATTTGTAAACTCATCCAGGATTCTTTTGATAAATTGTCATGACAGGAATGTGATGTACATCCTCCCACCCCCATCCCTGTCCAGATGTGGCCCCTTTTGCTACTGGGGCTGCATAGTATTAGGACTAAACTTGTGCCTCGGGTTAAATCCAGGCTTATCTACTTGATAGCTCTGTGATCCTGGACAACTTTCCTAGCCTCCTGAAGACTTAGTTTTCAAAAGGCAGAATAATGACATTTGTCAGGTTGTTGTGAGGATTACTCAGTATTGGTTAAATGTTAGCTACTGTTATTTATTATTCTTATGGACAGCTCCATTATTATTTGAGCAAAAGGAATTCAGAATTTCCAATTTTTCTTCTAAATATACCATAAAGTGTTTGAATCATGGTTATATACCTTAGATATGAAAGGAAGATTAGCATTATGTTTATAAATAAAAGGAACCAATAAAAAAATGAGGGGGAAGAGTGAAATAGTTATTTTTAGTAATCACAGTTAAAAATCAATTGTTAGAGTCTGAATTAATAATTTATTTAACCCTGAACTACTTAAGCATTAAAATATTAACCTAGTGTGCTTCCCCCCCACACCAGAAAACCAGAAGAGCATCTCTTCATTGTTCATAAGGCCATCACAGATCTTTCTCTCCAAGAAACCAGTGTTGATGAAATGACATTCAGAGAAGGTAAGAGGAACTGCTCCATTTTGTACACAATTTGTCTGACTGGGTGTGAGTGACAGTTTTGGCATGGGATGTTGTGTGAGTGTAGTGCTGAGAAAGCAACCCAGGCAATGCCTTCCAAAGCTCAACGCTGCTGTAGGCAGATAAGGGAGTTTTGATTATCTGTGGGTTCCACCTTAGAAAGTATTCTAGAAGCTTCAAGACAGACTACGTGGATTGGTGTAACTGATTGTCACAATTTGACCTGACAATATGTCTGTCATCTGTCTCTTAGTAAGTTAGTCCACTAAATCAATGTTTTTTAAATTTATTTAGTATCTCAAAATCTGTGTGAGTCAACTTGTGAAATATAAATGTTTTCAAAAGGGTTTATCCTAAAAGTTTACCATTGACATACAGTTTAAAATAATTTTATAAATTTATTTGGTATAAAGGAAAATTCCAAGCCTCTGAGGTAAACACAAAATGGTTACCTAATTCTTGTCAAATAAATCTCCCAGGTGGTAATTTTAATTGTGTTTTTCAGAATAAAAACATTGTGAGAATAAAAAACAAACAAACATTGATTTTTAAGTGACTATATTGTATTTCAAATAAACTCAAGAGACTAAGAGACACAAGATCATTTAGACTTCTCTTTTAAGGAGACACCTATATTCAAGCAATTTCCAAATACAGAGAAGGATAAAAACCTATTAATTAATAATGTGTGTCCTCTTTTGCAGCCATAAGCCTCTTATCTCAAAACTGAAGTCAGCTTGTTAGACCTAAGCAATTTAGTTTAGTTAGGACCTTAACAGGAAAAATATTGATGAGATTATTGGTTGAATTTAAACATCACATACTAGTAAAATAATAGAAGCCAGGGAAGACAGGGATGTGATTGGCAGTTTCCTGGGTTTGTCCACTTTGCCTGGACACCTCTCAGACTGCCACTGACCACAAGCAGTGGTCCGCGCTGTGTAGACACATAAGGAAGAATGTAGTAAACAACAGGCCTTGTCCAGCTCTTACCTTATCACCGATAATCAGTCACTTAAGCCCCTGTGAAATGAACTAACACTCTTTACCCTGATCTTTGTGCTTCCAATGTAGGTTTTGAAAGCAGGGATCTCAATTTTCATCTAGAGCCCCTTTCAAATTTCTAATCAGGAATTCTAGTGGAGACAACATTTTTCTAGGATCTTTCATTTTTATCATATAGAGAACAAAAGCAGTCTGGATTTTCAGAGTAGTGGGTCTAAGGGTGAATTTTTCCCTGAATGAATCCTTTTGTTTTTGGTGGAACATATGTTTTTCCTGAAAGCTAGAGGTATATGTTTTGTTGTTTTGTTGCCTTTTATGTTCACAATGACAAGCAGCTAAAAAGTCTCCAAAGAGAACATTCCTGGGTTAAAGAAAAATAGAAAGATGCTAAAAATATTGAAGAAAAACTATAATTTAAATTCAAGAAGTAATTTCATGCATGACAACTCCATGCCCGAGTCATGAATATGAGCAAAAAGATCATTTTATTTGGTTCTTATGGAAAAAATAAAACAAAACAAAGTTCAATATTCTCATGCACATTTATTTATAGAGTAAACAACATGGGCTGGGTATCTGTGCACAATGAGTTAGAAGTGAAAAATCCATCTTCAACTCTATCTCTTTTTGTAAGTTTACCACTTGACTCCTCTAGTTGGGAAAACAAAAGAATAAAAAGAGAATGAAAAATATTTGATGGAAATGAACTTGTGAACATCTTTCAGTGAAAATAGAAAATTGTGGCGGGGAAGGGCAAAGAGAAAGCTCATCTCTCACTTTAGGTCAAGGTTGTTGGAGTGTTGAAAGGGAATAGCGGACCCAGGCCTGACAAGGACTCAACACAGGCTGTCTTTCTGAGTCATGCGCACTGCAGACAGACGCTTCCTACACAAGTCCTCTGGGGTGAAAGCTCACAGAGCTACCTCTACTCTCTGATAATTCATTCTTTTTGCATTCTCTATAAATATTGTTGGGAGTATCCTAATATGATCCGTTTGCAAAGTGAAGTTTGCAATGAATTAAGCCTTTTAAAAATCAGGACATGGTACCAAACAACTTGAATTAATTAGTTGTCATTAGGGACATGTCTAAAGCAATAGGCTAATCTAGCACTATGTAAATATGACTCAACATTATTTTTAAATCTTGGCTCTCTAGAAATTCATAGCAGGTATCAGACTAAAGTGTGTGTGCTTTGTGGGTTTGGTTTAGCCTCAGTTTGTGACTTCTGACCATCTGTGGTCCTCTGTTCCTCCTTCTATACCTGGTACCTTAGGGCAACTCTGAGAAGCGTGGGGGCAAATACTGAATGTGCTACTCTGAGCATGACAGACAGGGGCCGTCCTTGTTTTTACTATTGGAAGGAAGCCATCTTCATTTCCCTGTGAGATATTTTTCTAATTTTCCCTGAGGGGTGTGTGTGTGTAAGATATAGGTCCAAATATTTATTTTACATATTCACATTTAGTCATGACAGGCTAGAGACATTTTTAGAAGTGTGTCTCAGCAAATACCGGTCTCACTCAATACAATAGTCCACAGCAACAACAACAAATCCATAGTCAAGTGAGGTTGAGTTGCTAACTTTCTTGGAGATTTACAATATTCTTTAGCATTTGAAAGGCTTGGATGAATTCTGAGGAAGCTCACTTAACAGTGTTAAATGCAATGTTTTCCAAATGAATTTGATGGACTAGCCCATTGTATGGTATAAAATATCTTAGTAACCCACACAATAGTATTTCATAAAACAAATGTGGGGAAATGATTGTCCAGAAAAATAATTTGGAGAACAACATCTGAGTTTTTGGAATCTCTGCACATCTCAGCTATCAATTGATTTTGCTACAGGGCATCCGTGGAAGAAGATTCCTCTGAGCAGCAGTAACCAGGAAATAAGTAGACAAAAGGAGAGGATTGCTGAACAACCTCTAGAAGAACGAGAAGTTGGGGATAGGAAGAGCAAAGCTTACCAGGCAACTGAAATCGAATGGCTGGGATTTCGAAAAGCTGGCCAAGTTGATGTGTTGCATGACGAGGAGCAAGAGGTTTGGGATGAAGAAACTAACAATGAAGATGATGATGAAGATGAAGTTCGAGTGATAGAATTTAAGGAAAAACACGTAGAGGGTTCTCACTTCAAAGAGGAAGGTGATCCAAGTGAGGAGTCCCCGCTGAGCAGCCCCAGTTCCCAACCTGTGACCCCTGATGAGCAGCCACCTTTTGGGAAGAAGAGTGATATTTCCAGAAATGCTTATTCAAGATACAACACAATATCCTACCGGAAAATCAGGAAGGGGAATACCAAGCAAAGAATTGATGAATTCGAGTCTATGATGAATTTATAAACTAACTGGATCTGAGAAGTTCTCAGCCGCACTAAAGCAAAAGCTAATTCTGTTTCCCCGAGATGCATCTTTGTATCCCTTAAGTCAGCTATCCTCTTTAAAGATGTGGAAGCTTCCTTTCTGTTTCACTGTAGAATAATGTGGAAATAACCCTAGGCAAAATTCAGTCTGGTAACTTCAGATCAAAAACCTTTACGTTTATTTACGGACATTTGCTTTTTAAAACTTCACTAACATAGCACATGTGATAAGCCCTGAACAGCTGGAACCCCTGGGGAATCTGGCATGATTTGGCTTTAAAAGGAGCAGCGCTGGGAAATACAGTCATTCTGTGCAGAGACCTATTTGATATGATTCCTGTATTTCTTTTGGGGTCTTTCTTCCTGTACCCTGAGGCTGCTAGAAAGTCTGTTGTTAACCCTTTCTTAACTTTTAAGCACTATTTTATAGACTCGGCCAGTAAACTTTTCAAAAGACTTTGCCTTTCCTATTACCTTCAAAAGCGATTTTAAGTGGTTTCCGTGGCATCTGCAGAGTGAAAATTTGGTACAGGCTTCTTCCTCACTGTTACCATTCACTGAATTTTCTCACTAGAGGAGCTGAGCAATTGTGAGTCCGGAGAATTCTGTTTACTGAATGTTGCCTTTATGCTCTCAAGATGAATTAAATCCATTGTGAGGTTGGTACAGGGAGGGGCTACACAATTGGTGGGCAACAGACTAAAGAATTATATTGGATAGTTTTATTTCTGTGACAAAATAAAATCTTGTCTAGAAAAGTGAAAGTCATTAAAAATGAAAATGAGCGCCTTAGTACATCTTAAAAAAATCCCCCCTCTTTATTATCACACTTTTCCTTATTAATTATATCTCAGAATAATTTTCTTTCCTTAGAAACCTGAGACAACTCTAGTCATAACTGTACTAGTTACTATGAAAATGGAAATAATTATCTTAGAATATTCTCAAAGTAGAGTGTGAGCATGCATTTTTAGTGAGAAAGCTCTGATAGTTGTTGGGAAAATATGATTCACTGGACTTCAGCCCAAATCGAGATGCTTAAATGGAGTTTCATCAAACCAATGTGTCAAATAATGTATTGAATATTTATGAAAAAGGAGAGTCTATATTTATATAGATTTCTTAGGTAGTTTCATAATTTTTTATTTCACGCTTCCATATATATTATCTGGTATTTTCTGTCGCCACAGATAAAGATATTTTTTGGCCCCGCAAATAAAAAGACAATTCCTTATTGTCTGAATGTAATACAGTCTTCATTGTACTAGTCAACCCTTTGTTTCTTTCTTTTTTATTTTGTAAAAAAACCCGGTTTCTCCCTTCTTAGATTATTGCTTATTTATGTGTAACAAATCCCACCCATTCTAATGGCAATTTCTTTCATTCTTCCTGGTCATGTAATATATTTCCATAGTATCATGTACTTTTAGTTAGTGTTTACAAGGCTCAATTTTGAAATAAGATTGCAGTGTTCCTCTTATTCTTTCAAGCAGATACTTTGCAACCTGAATGTATAGATGTTCTGCCATCCTTCATCAGTAGAACCTGTAGCTTTCATTCTTGACAAGGCAAGTTTTCAGATAAAGCTAAGGAAATCAGGTCTTTATTAATAAACGTGGATAGAAAATGAATGCACTAGATCAATTTCCTGTTTATTTAGATCCTCTAAACCTAGGACAGCCTAGTTTCTTTTCTGGATTACTGATGACCCCTACAATTTTCTATTTAACTTCAAAGCTCAGTGTTGCGTTAGCCATCACAGTACAAGATCGTATTGTTAATCTACCATGAACAGGGCCTATATTTTAAATTATTCCAAGGGAGATGATGATGTGGTCTATGGCCTTTTGATATGGCCAAGCAACTAGCTCTTTTGCAGCTCCAACGCATATATATAGTAACCCTGGCCTTTTTAGCTTTGTGCTTTTACCAGACAATGCAGCATGAAAGATTTTGTCAACAAAGATTCTTCAGGGCATATTTGATGAGTACATACTTAATGCTCATGGATGAGGCAATGTAGTTGCAAAAGAACAATGAAAATATTCTTCTTTTAAAATGTATTTTTATTGATTTTAGAGAGGGGGGAAGAGAGAGGGAGAGAGAGAGAAAAACATCAATGTGAGAGCAAGACATCTATTGGCTGCCTGCTGCACACCCCCCACTGGGAATTGAGCACAACCTGGGCATGTGCCCTGTCTTGAATCAAACCAGCAACCTGTTCATGCATGGGATGATGCTCAACCAATTGAGTCACACTGGCCAGGGCTGAAACTATTCTTTGACATTGCCCTTGCTGCTGCCATTTTACATTAAGGCCACAGAGTTAGGTGGCCATAAATAACATGACAGTGATGGGTGGCTATTTGATTCTTTGTAACCAAGGAAAGACAAGGGACTGGTTTAGATTGCATGAGGGATATTATCACATTAGAATACAAATTGGTAACTCTACAGGAAAGTTTACCACTTTTGTGATTCAAGGTTCTGGGTTGGAAGAAGGACTCTGGTATTCTGGAGGAGGGAGAGTTGATTTATTGTGAGAATGCTGATATTTCTTACATGACTTTTAATTTTCTTCAGTGGCTGGATGAACAGGAATTAATAACAGCTCTATTTCTCTGTCAATTTAAAATGTACCTTTAATATAAGGCTAATTTTGAAGACACAGAATATGTCACAGTCTATCCATCCAGTAACAAATTAATTAAAGAACTTCTGTGTCTGACTTGTTCTCAATAAAAATTTGGATCCTTGTTTTTGGTGTCTAGATTTTATTTTCTTTAGCTGCCCTTTAAAATTGAGAAGAAAACCTTGCATATCAGCAGCTATTAAGAAGATCAATAAATGCTGTTTCAGAAATCAAGAGAACATGCTATTTCAATTCATTTGCATTGTTTATTTCTATAGGTCTTCAAATGATTGTATATGAGATTGCAAACATTTCTAATGGCTAGTATGTAATGTTCATGAAAATTTTCTATTATTTTTACAGGAACTGAGCTATTGTTTTAGATGCATCTTAACTCCAAAACTTGAAAAAAAAATCTTTGTAGTCATGAAGGTAATATATGTAAACTATGCTAATGCTTTTATAGTAATTGTTTCTGCATATTTACATGGGGTAGTACTCTTGGTACACTTACAAATGGCAAATGGATATTTAAGTTTTTCAAAGTGATATGAACAATATTTAAAATAAGTAATAATAGAGAATTATGGGAAAAGATGAAGCACTTGAGTATCATAAAGAAGAAATATGTTTGACCATATGAGAAAGGCAACTCCATTTTTTAAAGCTTGAACTTTCATTGTTCTATAAAAACAAAAAGGGCTATAAAAAGTAAGATAAAAAGGTATAGCAAACATTTGCTAATATTACAATATCAGACTGTATATATAAAAGGCTAATATGCTAAGTGTCTGACCTGTCGCTATGTTGCCCACTGACCACTAGTGGGCAGATGCTCAATGCAGGAGCTGCCAAGCTGCAGTGACTTGGCAGTGGTGGTTCTCAGGTGAAGCACCCCAAATACAGAGAGGAGGGAGCCCGATGGGGCCACGCCATTCCACCTTCTGCCATGGATTATGTTGTTGCTGGGGCACTGCTGGCCCCGAATCTGGCTTACTGCACACTTGCGTTTGCGTTCCACACCCTGTACAACAGCAACTTTGCAGAGTGCCCTCTTGCACTCCGGGACCCCTCGGGGGATGTCGGAAAGCTGGTTTTGGCCCAATCCCAGCAGGCCAGGCTGAGGGACCCCCACCTGCCAGAGGGACCCTGCTCACTTCATAGGGAGGGGCAGTGGGAGGTTGCTCCAGGCCCAGCCCATCTTGCCCAGTCCCGCCCATCAGCCACCTTTTAATTAATTTAAACATGCACAAATCCATGCACCAGGTCACTAGTAACATAATAAATATGAATTCCAAAATGTGTATACAGCTCATAAAGAACACGAGGTGACTAGACCATACAATCAACAGAAACTCAGTGACATGGGTAGAAATCAGCAGAAAGAATCAGTCAGATACATGGCAAACTACATAATCAAATGTTAATGTCTAGTAATTAATTGCCAGCTAAGGAAATTTTTGAAAATGAATTTGGAAAGTGATTTAGATTTTTACTTAGAAACTTCAAAATCAAACATTATATGTTTGCTTCCTTCTTTATAATAACTTCAGTTGGTCAGAGGCAGAAACACTGGGTACTTAAAAATATTCAAGTTAACTCCAAATTCCTGTATACTCCATAGTTTTAATCTAGTTCTCCCCATTGACAAATGTTTTCAGATAATCAAAAAATTCACTAATTTGACCTTTGCCTCCTCTCATTTTTATCACCACCTCTTATAGCTTAATGTGTATAAAACCAGCAACATTTGGGCAGTTGTTTTGAAGGAGAGGAGTTAAGGCATGTGTAATAACCCTAAC